AAAGAGTGTAACAATGGGCAACGCCTGGGCTCTTGCGTCAAACAGCAACTGGGGTTCACGCCCCAATTCTACCACTTCCTCCCTAAGCGAGGCTGAGCGATCTAGACTCGGAGCTTTATTTCCGGCTCCCCGCCCAAAACAACGCCGAGGGTCACTGTGAAGGCGAAGTGATAAACTGACTGAAGTGTCCGCCCCAGGGCCTCTCCCAGGACCGGCGCGAAGCAGCCTCGAGCTCCTTCCCCGACCGCGGCATCCAATCATGCGAACGAACCCGAGGTTCACGAGTCCTTCGCTCCGCACCGGGAGGCTGAACCCTACGAAACGTGAACCGCAGAAGCCTACCCACGGCAAAGCTTTTCTTCAAAAACCAGTTGTCTTTGCTCCTTTTGCTTTCTCCGTTTTTCACAGGGGGAGGGGCGCGGCAGCCCCTCGGCAGGGTCCTGCTCCGTGCTCCCACCCGCCGCCTGGGTGTGGTCACGTGCTCCACGACCGAGGACACGTGCTTTTACTCTTAGCTAAGTAGGACTCGCACTTGGAGATTCGGCCTAGGCCTCACGTGACCAGCAGGCCTGCTCTGGCCTCCCACGGGGGTATACGGTACAGTCACCCCTCTCCACGTGCCCCGACGGCCGCGCATCCCTCTGTGGGACACCGGTCATGTGCGCTGCATATTTACAGGCCTGGTCCTTCTATGAAGCTGTGCTCATCTTCATAGAAGAAACTGTGCCTCTTGGTATTCCCAATGCTTAGCGCGTAACGGCAACTAAAACAAAGTTTAATTCAAAAAAAAAAGGAGGGAATGAAGAAATAAATTGGACTTGAAATTTTCTATGGAAAAAAAAATGGACGAAAAACAGAAGGAAAGAAACCAGGCCGTCCCACAGAATAAGTAAAGACTCGTGACAAAGGTTCCCCGCTCCTCTGCGTGGATTTCTCAAGTCCTCAGGGAAAACAATGTTTTGTAAAAGGGGGCGCGTACAGAAAAGCCAGGCCTGCAGCACCAACGCACCCCCCACGGCCGGCCTCCTCACATGCTCTCTCTCTGTGGTCACTGAGCTGTCCCCTTGGCTCTCCCCTGTTCCATACCAGATCCCCTTTGCCAGCAAACAAAGGCTCAGGGACCTGAGGAATCACTGGAGTTGCCAGGTGAAATTACGTCGCCATCGAAGCTAAGTCACACGGTCACATTTTCTGAGAAGCCTTTCCGAACAAACCCGACCCAAACATACCTGTATGCTTAGGTCAACTACACAAGTTTGTTCTCTATGAACCTCCCCTGCTAGAACCTGAATGTCTCCCCCACTGCTGATCGGCAGACCAGAGGAGGCCCAGACAAACCCGGGCCAGACGAGGGGTTAGCTGTGGCATCTGGCTCCAGGAGATGAATTTATCTTCCCGCAGACTAAACAATGTCCCAGGTACAGAGAAAGGCACTGTGAACAGATCAGTGAGCACGAGCCAGTCTCTCCTGCCACGGGTTTTATCAACCAGCCAGTTGGAGTATTTCAGGCTATTTTCACGAAACTATCTTCCTACCCTGATCTCTATTTATGGCCACACTGCCCCTGCGGAGTTAATTAACAAGTAATAATTAAAGGATTTATCACCCAAATTCTTTGAACAGCTGCAAACGAGCTTTCTGTATTAATACATTTCATTCTAAAGAGCCATGCTCTGTGACAAGTTCAATATGTTTTTAAGAGAATTGGATCCAAATTCGGATCCTTCAGAAAACAAATCGTTCTATGTTCTGCGGTATTTTTGTTTGCTTTTAACTTGAGCCCTCATCTCCAGAAACATAATCTCTGCACATTTTTTAAGGAAACCTAACCACTCCGCTTCTGGGAACACTGGCTCTTGTCTCCTGACTGACCCCTACAAAACGGCTCATGTTTTCGGCATCTGTACACACACACACACACACACACACACACACACACACACACTCAGTTAATGTTAATTTTGGCAAGCGCTGCTGGTAATGGAAGTTGCAGATGAAAAAAAGAGAAACAAATTTGGCAGGATTCTTGAAGAAGTGTGTGTCAAGTCGTGGACTGGCTGAGCGGTCCTCAGACTTTTCAGACCGGACGAAGGGTGTGTGCCCTCTACTTAGAAGACACCTGCCTGTGACAGTGAAGCCGGCTTCACAGTATCCAAAGCCTCGATAAGTTCACCACGACATGGGATGATAGTTTACATTAGTTTTAAAAAGAGGATCACAGACTAAATTTAAGACCTCACACTACATAAAACCGTTGGGAAAAAACACAGGTGTAAATCTTCAGGGCCTTGGATGCAACGATAGTTGCTCAGCTAGGACACGAAAAACGAGGAGAAGGAATGAGAACCGACGGAGCACAGTGCGCATGAACCTGGAAACACTGTGCTAAGTGAAGGAAGCCAGTCACGAAGACACACGTGTGAATGTATTTCTACGAGATGCTGAGAACAGGCAACTGCATAGGGGCAAAGAGCGGCCGAGTGGCCCCCTCGGGGGGCAGAGGTGGGAGCTGTGGCGCAGTCTCTCTCTGGGGTGGTGAAAACGTTCTGCAGTGAGATTACGGTGATGGCTGCGCAGCTCTGCGAAGGTGTTAAAAACTGCTGGACCGCACTGAAGAAGGGTGATGTATGGCACGTGACTTATGCCTCGATGAAGCTATTACACGAAAATGACGGAAATAGTTTTTTGCCCAAACAGAATGGCCAGCACGATCATCGGATTCTCTGACATAGCGGAAGACAAGACGGAATGAACAAGAACATGCACGGCAGGTGGCAGAAGCGGGTCCACGGAACCCCGTCGGGACCACGGTCGACACGGCCACGCCTGCCCCGCGCTTGCTATGGAGACAAAAAGCCAGACGAGCATTCCTGGAAGAAACAGCTGGAAATTCTAGAGCTGAAGATTACCGTAACCAAAATGAAGAGCCCACTGAACACGTTTAATAGCAGATCAGACACAGAGAGAGAAAAATAGGGAGCTGGAAGTAACAAGAAATTAACCAGACTAAAAGAGGGGGGTGGGGATAGTAAATATGCAGAAGTAGAATGTAGTGAAAGAGTCTCATACATACTTAAATGCAGTCGGGGGAGGGGAGGAAATGGAGCAAAGTTACATACATTTTAAGAGAAACGGCTAAAAATTTTTCCAAAACTTAGAAAGATGACATTCCATGGATTTTAGGGACCTAAGGAATCCGAAGCAGAATAAATAAAAATGGACATCCAGATACAAAGTGAAACTAAAAAATCAAAGACAGAAAGTCCTAGAAGCAGCCTGCCAAGGGGAGGCGGATCGCCTCTTGGAGACGAGCGCGAAAATAATTAACCTCAAAGTAATCAGAACGTCCTTTCAAAAACCCATCTGTTCAGGTTAATCCCTGTTTGTGTACACTTGAAAAACGTACGAATGAAAATAAAAACAGACCTCAGAAAGAGGTTCGGCAACGAAAACAGCTCAGAAATAAGCCGACAGCTTACCTTCAGCCACTGCTCGGCCTGCTCCTTGCTCTGGACGGCGAGGACAAGGGGGTCCGTGCCCTGCTGCGTGATTCTCAGCTCGTGCTGCTTCTTCTTGCTGTCCTTCGGGAGGTAGGTGACGCTGCAGCCCTGCAGCGGCAGCTCCATCTGAGGCTGCTGGTCCTTGGAACTTTTATAGCACTGTGTTCAACGTGACAAATCGAAGCTGCGTTACCAGCAAGGTCGCGCGGGCCACCGACAGAACCGCACGGCGGAAGCGGGCGTGCCGGCGAGGCGTCCGAGGTCTGACGGGGCAGCGGGGACGCTCGCCGCCCGCGGAGGGCTCCGCAGACTCACGGGCCCCTGCGCCCAGAGCCCCGCTCCACACCAGCACCTCTGTGTGTGTGCAAACGCATCGTTCACAACAGCCGGCAGGGGACAGATCCCTGGAGCTACGTGCCAGTGGAGCTGTTCACTAAGTCGCGCAAATAGAATTTATTAGATTTGTTGGAACAATGCAGCCCTACTGTGCACAGACAACAATATGGACACTTTATTCTATAGTCTATGTCCTTGGGTATCTGCCTGTCTCATCTCTATCCGCTTTCTGAAAGACGCATGATTTCATTACTAGTGTAAACATCAACGCATGACACATGAAAATGTCGCAAAGGTTCACCTTCCAGTTGAGCGGAGGATCCGAAACCCGTCGCTCCATTTACACAACAGCATTCACTCTAAAGACTTCAGTGCTGAGGTCGAAACCGAGACCTAGTCCCCATCATTCTTGTTTAATCTAGATCTGTAAAATCCAGAATTGACACTGTCCAGAGGTGTCCCCCGCACCCTGTTGTGTAACTGTATTACCGGGGACCGAAAGCATCTCTCCTCATGGAAACACACGTCTAGTACAGATGTCTGGGTCCTAGCTCTGCTGCTAATTTAATCTGGGTTCCAGGAAGTTTGTGTTCTGAGCCTGTTTCCTCATTTGTAAGATGAGTTATCACTACTCTTTTTTTAATGGCATTAAATTATTAGTAACAATAACATCTGCTACCAAGTACTGAGTGGCAACATGATATGAGGCACCTCGTACATCTCTCTCATTTAATCATCACAGATGTGTGTTTTGCAGATTACGTCAACTTGGTTAAGTAGCTAACTTAAGCGACCAGTACCTGTGGTTAGGTAACGACCAGTCTGGCCACCTGAAAAGTGGCAGACCCGGGACTGTAGCCTCAAACCGTGAGGCCTGCAGTCCTGCCTCTAGACCATCCACTGATGAAGAAATGAATGAACAGAAACGATCATTTATAGTCCCAAAACCATGGCTCTCGAGTGGCACACTGATAGACTATGTCCGCTTCAAAAAAAATTTCAACGGATGGTTGCCCTGTCTAAAAAGGAAAAAAAAACACACCGAAACCAACTAACCTCAGATTGCTACGGATGTTTACCATTCACCAGAGATTTTTTACATTCTGACTTAAGTGCAAACAATAAAATAAAAATAAAATAAAATAACAGTCCAATGGAAGGAATCGAAAAAAAAATTTTATAGCTTATATTTTTCCTTACGTCAAGCGCCCCCAAATGGGTGTGTCATCGGTAATCGATGAACTGCAATCTGGAGGTGCTTGCTGGCGGGGCTCCCAGGGAAGCCGGCTCCCAAACAGAGCGGCACACAGGACAGTCACCCGCGCTCTTAGGGGAACGCCCGTGAACGCGGGGCAGGAAGAGGCTGCGCAGAGCGGAGCGGCCCAGGGGTCACCAAAAGGCCTGGGTGGGCGGACCCTACGGGGGCTCTGGAGCTGGAGTGTGCCATCGGGTTGTCCCACCGCGTCCCCACCCGGTAACACACGGGATGCAAACCCCCAGGGAAGGGGGCATGCCCTTGGGCAAGCTCTCTGCCCGCAGCCCTCCCTACAGGTGAGGGACAGGTCCTTCCCTCAGTCCCGAAGGCAGCTGTGGGCCCCTCACAGGGCGCCACAGAGCTGCCCGGGCAGGGAAAGGAACGGCTTCCGAAGGACACAGGAGGCTAGTGACGGCAGTGCCCGTGGGAAGGCAGACCGGCGGGTGGTCGAGGCTGGCCGTCTGTTTTCTGTTTATAGTTTCTGTACTGTTTAAACTTGGAAAACATTTGCTTTTGTTGTCACTGCGAACTTTTTTTCAGTGTCCACAGGGGTCATCTGGGCAGTTGAATCACAGGCCACTTTGAACCAAAAAAAACTTCATAATAAAAATAACTAACTTTGACTCTGCACTTTATCAAAGACAGCGCTTTCATGCGGTTTTCCATTAATTTCTTCTCAAATGTGTATAACGACTCTAAACGGCAGGTATTTTCGTCCTGGTCGTGAAGACGGGAAATCTGGGTGGAGATGGAGCGGGGGAACGGTGTGGAGACGGGGCGGGGACGGGGCGAGGTCACCTGCGCCTCTGAATTACTGAGCCCCGCAGGCCGCGCAGGCTCCCCTCTCTGCGTCTTAAAACTTCTTTCCCAAAAGTGGACTGTGGATTTTCCAAACATCTACGTAATTAATGCGTCCGCATCTTACGGCCATTATGTCAGATTGCCAATAAATATCATCTTGATCCTCGTCATTTTTTTTCATCCTTTACTTTAAAAGTCCCCCGTGGCATCATTTCTGGCATATTTTAAATTTGAGAGATTCCAGGCCACACATGTGAAAAAATACGTCCTCTCGCTGTTTTAGAAAAAATGAACAAAACCATTGATTTAGAAATATACAATGTCTTAAGAATCTAGTAAGATTCCCATAATTCACAGATAAAACTATAAAAAGAATATCTAACTCCACTAAAGATACACAGAAACGTAACTTCTCGTGTGTCCTGTTTTAATGATATAGTTTTGAGTGATTTTTTTTTCAAAGTTAATTTGAAGGAAAAACGAAAAGCAACAACATACTCTAGAATTCATAATTCTAATAATCACCCATAGTTTCTAACACTGGGAAGGAGGGAGGGAGGGAGGGAATGAGGGAGGGAGGAACCGTCACCCCATTCTCAAAACGTTTTTCCTTTCTTAACAGAATCCCTGTTGGAATAACACCTAGGTTCCCTGCTTGTCTGCTACTCTATCTTCCTACTGCTTCTTGGATTAAAAAAAGAAACAGAACCAGCCTTTAGCTTTCCAAAAGAATTTCCTGTCCTGGCCACGCTCCCTCCAAACCTCGCAGGCCTACCCGTCCCACTTCTGACCTGGCTCTGAGGAATCCACTGACTCACTACAAATGAGAAAACCCATCCTGCGACTCCTGGCGAGTTAAAGCGCTGTGCCTTCCCACCGACATGGACCGCAGACACCGCCGGGGGCAGGGGGCAGGGACTTGCCCTCTGCTCGCTGAGGGAGCTGGGGAGGCCTCTGGCACTGACATGGCCATCTCAGCCAGCGCTACCAGGGCCCACACCGGACCTCTGAGCTCACCACGGGCCCAAGGCCGTGGCTCCCCTTCCCCCTCGCTGATGTGATCATTGCCTGGGCACGAATCCCACCAAGTTCGGTGGCCAAGGACACGCCACCGGCTCTACCCCAGAGCAATCACTGCAAAAGCTTTACCAGTAGTTTGGTGTCTTTGATGACGCAGAGTAACTTGGTCCACTGCCCGAAGCGTTTCTTCCGCAGCAGGAAGGCACAGATCTTGGCGTCCTTCACCAGGTCCATGGAGGCCTCCTCCGAGGGCCACTGGTGTCGCGTTTTCTTCCCCTTTCCATCCTCCTCCTCTTCATCGTACGATTCATAAGAGCTACTCATTGCATCCGAGTCATAATCTGTCAAAAACAAAGGCAGAAAAGTGAAGACCTGGTTAGGAACATCTCCCCTGGAAGGCAGCCACGGGCTCGTGTCCCTTGTTACATCGGTCAGCAAGGAAGGGGCTCCTGCGTTCAGAATCGTTAATAAAAATGAGGAGAAATAACGCTAAGCTCGGGCAGTGGAAACCTTAGTCTTAAAGTGACCACAAACCCTGTGTTGAAAACCACCCCCAGGCGTTCGGCCCTGGCAGAGCGGGCGTCGCGGAGCACACGCCAGGGCCTTGCCGGGCGAGCACGGCCCCGTGTGCTCCCCAGACGGAGGCCCTGCCCACAGCGGCCCCTGCTCTCCCGCGCCCACGCCTCCGTGTTCAAGTTCTTTCTGGTCTGCAACGTCCTCGTCCCCGCTGGCATCACCACATGAACAAGCCCCTCCTGACCCTCACGATCTGACCCAAGGCCACCCCGTCCTTGGGTCACCGTTGGGACTTTGCTTTTTTGCACCTGCCCCCTCATTCCGTGATGCTGGGTTGTTTTTAGCTTCCCAAATACGTCACTCTCGCTGCCACCTCCGGGGTCTGTGCACACACGGCTCTGTCACACAGGCTTCCGGCTCATCCCACTTGGTCTCCTGCCTGTGCCTGGATGACGGCCCACCCTTCCGGGTGTGACTTACTGGCACCTCCTCCACAAGCCCCCCTGCCCCGAATCACCAAAGCTGGCTGCGAGGGATTGAACTGTGCACCCCAAATCCAGGTACTGAAGCTCCAACCCCAATGTGACTGCATTTAGGATGGAGCTTCTCGGAGGCAAAGATTAGTTAAGAGAGGTTATCTGGGTGGCTCCGAATCCAACGGGACTGGGGGAGGGGGCCTTATAAGATGAGGAAGAGAGAGACCTCATGCTCTCTCTGCGTGTGGAGACCCAGGGGGAGGTGCTGTCCCAGGCCACCGTCTCAGGCTGGGGGGTGGGGGGGTAATCAGCCATCCCAGGCCGGAGGGAGGCCCTCGCAAGCCCTGAGCGCAGGCTCCCAGCCTCCGGAACTGTGGGAAAGCACCTGCGTGTTGTCCGGTCCCCCAGGCCACAGTGAGCTGTCACAGAGACCATGCTGACTCAGGCACTGCGTGAAGTGCCCCTGCTGGGTGCTGCCGCACCACCGAGCTGGAACTTCGTCCCCCTGCGGCCACTGCTGTTTGCCTGTCCGTCTCCCCACAGCCCTAAGCCCTCTGGGGGAAGGGAGTCCACTTTGTGCGAGGTGACCGTCCCAGCACGTGACCAAGTACCCGGCACAGGGCAAGTGCGCAAACATCTGCAGAAGGCAGAACGGTTAGATGAGCTTAAATGACACCGGAGAGCCCTCCGAAGGACTGCCGGCGCCAAGTGCCCAGGAAGCTCTGGTGGCGGTCACTGCTGATCTGAGCCCTGCTGGACGACAGGCTCCCTGAGGGCGTCCGGCCCCTCTCTGTGCCCGCCTCGCCCCCGCAAGCATCTGGAAGGCCTTCGTTTTCAAGCACTTTCGAGGCCTGAGCGCCTACGTGGTGATCGAATGACGGAGGAGAGACGCGGCGAAAGCGACGGGCTGCAGCGGAGCCACGCGGCGGGGAGGGCGGCCCTTCCGCAGCAGACGCGGCACCAACGCGCCGGAATGAGTCACGCTGTGCGCGCGGCCTCGTTTCCATCCCTCACTGAGGGGGACAGAAAGACTGGAAGTTGAAGCAGAATTTTACATCGTGAAAAAGGAGTCACGGAAGGATTTTGAGCAAGAAACCCAAGTGACCAAAGAGGTAACTTGGGCAATAAGGTGGCGAATGGGCTAACGCTGGGGTGACCGAGAGCCGGGGGCCAGTCAGGAGGCATCTGTGACACCGTTGACAAGGACGCTGAGACGGCGCCGAGGGATGTGGGCGGGGATGAGCGGTGTTGAGGACCGCGGTCACGGGGCACAGCGGACAGGGGACGCGAGGGCGCGGTCCAGACAAGCCCTCCGCCCTGCGCGGGGCACTCGAAGTCAAGTCTAAGCACAGCGAGGACCGCTGACCGGTCACCGGAGCGAGGGCTGAACCAGTCACGGCTCTTCTTCCTTATGGTGGCGCGGTCTATCTGCGCATAATAAACCAATTCTTTTTCCGTCCTCGCCCACTCCCCAAGCACCCAACACACGACGTGCTGACAGCACTGAGCCTCGAACCTTGGCATTTAAGTTGTAGGCTCTCGCTGGGGAGAATGTGACTCAGCCAGAACACAGTGGCTGTCGCCCCGAGCAGATGAAGGGATGAATGGACTGCGTCCTCGGGGCGGCCCGGGCGTCTTCCGTTACACAGTGGGAGCCGATTCCCGTTACGCTGGGCCATGGTTTTGCTACTGTCTGTATTTGGCCAGGAGAGGTATGCGGGATGCCAGCCGACCTGAGGGAAACGGCGGCTGCCTACTGTATCGGCTTAGCAAGGCTGGAGTCCCAGCTCCCAGAATCCCGTCTTGGATGCTTCTGGGTTAGGGCTGGCCACTTGGCAGGCAGGGCGGCGGCCAGTGCCAGCGCACTGCGAAGGTCAGCGTGGGATGCCAGACGAGGCTGCGGCACACAGCGCCCTCACTGGCCGGCCGGCCCTCCGGGCTGGTGGGGCAGTCACTGGGCCCGCCGCTCCTGCGGGTCTCTTCTGAGTCCCGGGCCAGGTGTGTGCAGCTCTGTGGGATGGGTGCCAGTTTCTCCAGTTGGTCGCCATGTCGCTGGGTTTGCAGGAAGTGAGAGATGAAAGTGGGTTCTAATCTGTCCTCCCTCTTCCCCCTTTTCCTGATCCAGCTCTTCTGCCTGATGGCCGGTCCCGCCAGACAGAGGCAGAGGCCCCCCACAGGCTCCTCCCCTGGACCCACACTGCATAGGGCCTCGGTCCCGTACTGAGCCCGATCCCGCGACACTCGCGGTGGTTCTGTTTCTCTGATAGAACCGTACCCGGTACGGGTTCAGCAAAGCTGTCGCAAAGTCCCCGTGTTCCCGAAGGCAGCATGACCCCACCCTGACCTGCAGAGTCAGCTCACTGCCACAGTTCCTGGG